GTGGCTCATGCCTGTAAACTTTGGGAGGCCAAAGCAGGCAGATCACCTGAGGTCAGTCTTCAAGACCAGCCTGGCCAACATGGTGAAACCCCGTCTCTACTAACAAGAGTAAAACCCCATCTCCAAAAACAAAAAGAAAAAAAAAAAGAAAATGTAACCAACCTTAAGGTAGGAATTTTGTGACCTAACCTAGTTATGGACTGTTCCCCCTCTTTTAGTGTTTTCTACTCTTAATTTATTTTATTATAAATTGATAAATTATAATTATATATATTTATAGGGTATGAAGGGATGTCATGATATATGTATACAATGTGGAATAATTAAATCAAGCTAATTAACATGTCCATCAGGCCAGGTACAGTGGCTCACACCTGTAATCCCAGTACTTTGGGAGGCCAAGGTGGGCGGATCACTTGAGGTCAGGAATTTGAGACCAGCCTAGGCAACATAGTGAGACCTCATGTCTATAAAAAATAAACAAAATTTGGCCAGGCGCAGTGACTCATGCCTGTAATCCCAGCAATTTGGGAGGCCAAGGCAGGCAGATCACTTGAGGTTAGGAGTTTGAAACCAGCCTAGCCAATATGATGCAACCTCATCTCTACTGAAAATACAAAAAAATTAGGCAAGTGTGGTGGTGCACACCTATAGTCCCAGCTACTCAGGAGGCTGAGGCAGGAGAATTGCTTGAACCTGGGAGGCAAAGTTTGCAGTGAGCTGAGATTGCGCCACTGCACTCCAGCCTGGGTGACAAAGCAAGACTCTGTCTAAAAACAAAAATAAATAATATATAATATATATTTGCTGGGTATGGGGTGTGAGCCTGTAGTACCAGCTACTCAGAAGGCTACGGTAGGAGGATCACCTGAGCCCAGGAGGTCGAGGCTGCAGTGAGCCATGATTACAACAAGCCATGATTGCACCATTGCAATCTAGCCTGGGAAACAAAGCAAGATTCCACCAAAAAAAAAAAAAAAAATCCATCACTTCAAATACTTAATCATTTTTGTGGTAAGAACATCTGAAATTTACTGTCTTACCAATTTTGAAAGTACAATATATTATTGTTAATTATAGTCACCATGAGATATAATAGATCTCAAAAAACATGTTCTTCCTGTCGAGAACCTTATACCCTTTGACCAGCATCTCCCCAGTCCCCTCAGCCTCTGGTAACCACCATTCTACTCTTTACTTCTATGAGTTCAATTGTTTTAGATTCCACATTAAAGTGAGAACATGTATCTACCCTTAATTTCTCTTCATTTAAAAAAAAAAGTCTCTTGTATGTTAAAAATTGAAGTAAGACATCTAAGCTATATTTTAGAAAAATGTAGAAAAATGGGAAAAAGGAAGAATGGAAATAGGAGAAGAGTGATTCTTCCATCAGAGACCACAATAATGTTCCAGAACATGTAGGAAATTCTGTGTGAAGCTAGAGCTAAGATAAAAATAAAGTGGTTTTGAATTTATATCACTACAGGCACCTTCCAACCTAAGAAGCAGTTCAGTAATAAAGGTGTTTATTCTCTAAGCTGTTGTTTGGAGCTCAGAATTTATTTTTCCACAGAAACATTATAAATGATTGAGCTCACAGTTCAGCCATGAAATGTCAATTTAACTACATTGTGAATGTAAATGACAGATCCATGGTTCTATTTCAAGTTCAAAAACCACCCTTTACAGGATTGTTCTGATGGGAAGACCTATATCAAGTTCCAACTTACAATACCAGGCACATTCTATGCCCATTAATCTTATGTTCCCATTTTAAAATGATCAGCAAAAATGTCCAGGACTTCCTAACAGAATGAGCTAGATTTAGATCTCCCGTCCCCAAACTTTCCAGAAGTTATCTCTTGATACCTGCATAGAAGAAATGTTTGGGTCGGTCCTTTCTGGGGTGTCTGAATTAGGAGAAAGAGTATTGTCTCCACAGGAAACAGAGGCTGTAGATTCAGACCTCCTCTATTTGGTGGCTCATGTGCTAAGGCAGATAGTGTGGTAGAAAGAGCACCTCAGCAAGGCGCAATTGCACACATCTGTAATCCCAGCTACTTGGAGGCTGAGGCAAGAGGGATCCTTTGAGTCCAGGAGTTTGAGATCAGCCTGGGCAACATAGCAAGACCCCCATCTGAAACAAAACAAAAGAAAACAAAAAGAAAGAAAGACAGATCAATGGATTATGAGTCAACAAACTTGAATTTGAATCTTGACCACCACCTATGTAACCCTGGATAGGTGGCATTACATGTCTGGGCCTTAGTTTTCATTTATCAGTATTTTCAAAAAGAGAAATAAATAAGATGTCAAATTTCTGAGAAGAGAACTTACAGCTTTCAAGAGAATGTCAAAGAAATCTAGCACCATCAACACCACCCCAAAATTAAGAACCACCAAACAAAATGACCTGCTGAATCCTTTTAGCCCTAGCATTTAAGTGCCAAGTTTAGTGCTGTTTCTCAATTAGAAACTCTCTATTCATGATTTATGCACTGAGTATTGCAGTCCTCCAAACAGCTGGTAACATCCTCCACACTAGTTAAACAATAAGCAGAATAACAAAGGTTTTATAAACTTTCTACATGATTTCTCATTCTCTGAAAATCTTTTCTCTTGCTGTAATAAAATATCTGTCATCCCAAAATCCTCAATTTTCAGACTGAGAGTCGACATAGATTGAACTAATTGTATAATTTCTACTTTGTGTGGGAGACTTTTTTCTTTTTCATATCCTCAATCAATTCACCCTTCTGCTTCAATTTACTTGACATATTCCTTGTTCCTAAGTGTTCCGGAACAGAGACAGAGGTTGAAATCTAAGGTCAATCTCATAACGTAGAATGTTTTCTCTTTCAGGAAAAGGAGCGTTGAATTGCTTATCCTGTGTGTGGAGTTACCACCTCATGGGAGGGATCTGCACCTCGGACTGTCTTGTTGGGGAATACAGAGTGGCAGAGGTATGGAGGGCTAGGGGTGCTGGGCCTTCTGCTCTCTCCAGAGGGGAACATGAGCTTAGTTCCTGCATGTCATTCTGGCCAATCAAAATGTCCCAACATTCTCATACTATAGAAATACTGTACTTTTAATATTTTAAAATCTTGTACCATTGCATCATGTAATAATGGTGCTACCCACCTGTAGCCTTAACTTTTACTCCAAAGGAACTGAGAAGATCTAAGCTAATGGAGAAGTTAAGTCGTGAGGGCCTTGGAATGAATTCTTTATTTGTTGTTCATCACCATAGAAGTTTCAGTCAACATAAGAATATTATGTCAGAAATACAAACTATCTTGTCCCTTACTTCTCTCTGGTCTAA